CCAAGTGTTATGTTTCAGCTGTCCACACTACTGCCTCTTCACAAGAGAGTGGATCAGCTCTCCACGCTGTTGCCTCTACTACTCCCTGTACTGCTACTCCCTCTGCTGCTGCTACTACTTTATCTTTGTTGCTACTGCTGCTTTACATAGCTGCTACTGCCTCCTATCTTTGATGCTGTTGTTGCTTCCATAGTGCTGCTACTGCTTGCTCCTATTATGAAAATAGAAGAAAATATTGATTATGTAGTTTTTTTTTTTAGTTTTTTAAATGTAATATTACAAGTTATTGATGAAAAAATATGTGTTTTATGTATATTATGATTATATATAAGTATTTGGTACAATTTAAGGTAAAAAAATGCAAAAAAGAAAAAAAAAATGATTTTTTGGGCCATTAAGGGCATCGGTTAACCGGTGCTAATAACCTTGTATTCGCACCGGTTAACCGGTGCTAATGTTAATAATTCCCACCAGTTTTGAACCGGTGCGAATAAATTCAGCTTTTGGCATCCCTCAAATGACTAACGCTTCAAAATCGGTGCGCAAAGCCGGTTTTGAACCGGTGCTCATTTGCATTTTTCTACTAGTGTAAGGAAATTAAATATGTTTCATAATTGATTTTAATATCATGTTTTGAATGATTAAATTATTTATCATGTTTAATAGGTTTGGTTTGAAAGTGTGTTGAATTAAATAAAGAGGAGTAATTTTATTATAACGGTTGATTTATTTAAAAGTGAAATTTCATGAGAAATACTGAATTATTATTAAAGCTTTACAAGCATGTTTAAATTAATCCCACAATGCAGATTTGGTTGATAAAACTTTAGACTTTGTATGACCGGGTGTTTCAGGAAGCCTTTCTATATAAAGATACTAAGTTGGGGGGTGTGCACACTTAGGAGGAATTGAGTTTTTAAATGAATCGATTTTCATTATTTGAAATATTATTTGGATTATTGAGTGAATGGAATTACTTGGGAATTTTTGAGAATTGGTTTGAAATTATGAGATTGAGATTTATTGAAATAAATATTGGAATTTCCATGATTAATTTTAAAAGCATGTTTGCTAATAAATTGAGTTTACTTATCTTGCATTTTAATGTACTTGGCATATTTTGCTAATCTGTATTTCTTATTTGTTTTGGTTCGCCTTGTTTACCTTAGTGGTAATTAGTGATGAATGTTTCAGGTGGAGTATATATGATTTGAGCATATGAGAGTCTCAGGATTTGGGCTTCACCTAGATTAGGGGTGTTTGCCTTTTATTTTCATTTTCAGTACTCATGACAATGGTTTTTATTTTAAGTATTAATAAAGAAGAGTCGAATTTTCCGCTGCAAGTTTGTTATTGAGTTAAGTTTTAAAATAGCCTTTGTAATAGGCCTAAGTCTATCTGTACGATATAATTATATGTTATACTAGTATTGGATTTGTGGAGAAATTTTTAAAATTTAACAAGAAAATATGAAGAAACAAACTGAATAAGTCAAATTCATGGAATAATGAATATAGGGCATTTCATAGGTAAATGCAAAGTTTGTGGGAATGTGAAATGAATTAATGAAAATGTAAGAGGAAATTTCGGAAGGAAAAATGTTGTTTTCCAAAATAATGAAGAGGTTGACACCTTTTTACAAGTACACAATTAAACTAAGGGAATAAGATGTAAAATCCGACCTTCTTATATTTTGGGCCCTATGTAGTTGCTCAGGCCGCAAATGATAAGAGTCGGGTCTGTTGAGAATCTTATACATATAAGAAAATATCTTATGAATTGAAACCTATTTTTAAATCTAGAAGAGATTACTTTGTAAATTAAGTGATATATGTATGTTAAGAAATATTCTATATATAGTAAGTGGGATATTATGTTAGAAGATAGTATTTTTTGAATCTTGAGTGTATAAGGTAATATTATATAAATTGCAACCTAAAAAACAAATATGTAATCATATTTTAAAATCAACAAATTTGTAATTATTTGTTAAAAATATTATTATTATTATTATTATAAGATAAGCGAATCATAGAGCGACACTTGTCAAATAGGTTATTGATTGATGATAAGAAAGTGAAACATTTAATTTATTTTTTAGGGTACTACACATTTATTTTATCAACTCTCACATTTTTGAACCGTGCGCCATTGGAACGGGCTCAACTAGTGCTTATTACTACGTTTTTGAGACGACTCACTGCAAATAAATGTCCCAAACTTTCCCTATGAAGTAACAACGCACAAGTCTTATAAAAGTCATTCACTACAAATTAAATTTCTTATTTCCTTATGTTTTAATTTGCATAATTTTCAAGTATTAGTGGCTCTTCGAACCTAGCAATCAAGAGAAGTGGAACCGTAAAAGAAGGTTTCTTTAGAGGAGATAGGAAGATTTGTGTCCAAGTTTTAAATTTAATTATCATGTTAAGAAAAACTTATAGCTTTAATTAAAGCTAAATTGATTAATTATTTGTAAATAAAAAGTCGTGTTTATTTCAATTACATCCAAAGATTTTCTTTATATGTTTTGCACTCTCCATCTCTTATTGATTTTCCTAAATAGAATCTAATCAATATTTAGGGCCTGTTTTGTTCAGCTTAATTTCAGTTCAATTTAGTTCAGTTCAGTTCAGTTCAGTCCCTAATTTCCTTCTCTCATAAACAATTCATTTCAGCTCTATTCAGTTCATATCAGTTCAGTTGTTTTCAGTAAATCGGAACAGGCCCTAAGTATGAATTATAAGGTATAAAAGTAGGGGTGAGCAAGACCGGGTACCCGGTCAAATACATAGGACCTGGAATTGTAACTGGTCAACACCGGGTCTAGAAAATTGGAAATGGTCCCGGAACCAATGACACCGGGTCCTAGATTTCTAGAACTGGTCCTGGAACCGGTGGGAACCGGTTCCAAAACCGGATACCCGGTTAAATATCAACGTGTATTAAAAAAAAAAAAAAAAAAAACCTCCAAACCATGTCACATCATCACACTCACCAACCCGTCTGGCCGGTCGTTAACCTCCACAACCACTTAAAGAAACTCAACCATCAACACCATGGATGAATCATTAATTTAAAAAAGAAAAATCTTAATCATCAAATTTTCAAATCAATTCATAAGATTGTAGATCTACAAATAACTAATTAATATTTTAAGAAAATGAAAAACTAAATGCGAAGTTCAACATTGGTAGAAGAAGAAAAAGGCAAAGGGTTGAAATGAATTAAAAAAAAAAAAAAAAGATCAGAGTATTCAAGTATTCTACTGGTATTATTGGATGAAGATGGGTAAAAGTTAGCAAAGAATGAAATCTGAAAATGATGACTGCGTATGGGATATTTTGTTAGTGGGTTAGGTTTAGGGTTAGTTTGATAAGTGGGCTGGGCTTAATGCAAGTTATATACAAATATATTTCATGGTTTGTATTAAGTTGTACCTGGTGGGCTAGAATATATTTTAAACTTTCAACAGTATTGGGTACCCACCGGGCACCGGGTCCAAAATTCAAAGAATTGGAATTGGTGCCGGTTATAATCGGGTCCCAATTTTTGGATTTGGAATTGGTTCCGACGGGTCCAATTCCGGGTCAGGACCCACCGGTTCCTAACTGGTTCCAGGTACCCAATATTTATGCTCACCCCTATATAAAAGAGAATCTAACTTACTTTCTTTTACTTCGTATATACAGAGTACAAGAAAAATACAATTGGGTGATGTCTTGTTTAAATTATTTGTCTCAATTAGTACTTTAAATATAGTAGACTTTTAGATTTCTAAAACTCAATATTCTTACAACTCTCACGAGATCTAAATAGCACTAGTAACGTTTCAAACATTACATAGTCAAACAACATCCAATAAATTTATCGTCTATATATATGCAAATAATTATAATAAAATATCATGCATATGGCATTAAGGCCACAAGTAGTTATAATTTTTTCAGAAGGTCTAGCCATATCACACGCTTTAATTTGCTCGTATTGGAACCCCTAGTTTTAAGAAAATTTAAAGTAGGGGAAAATAAAATATACGCATAAAGTGCATACAATTAATGTTATCTAAGAGATGTGCATGATGGTGAGTAAGGAAGACAAGAAAAGGCTAGAAAGATGCAAAAACTTGATATTTAAAATTCTCTCCCCAAAAAAGATGTTATGATTATAGAAAATTTTAAGGATTTATATTTTTGTCATTATAGTTTGAGGTACATATTCATTCATCTTTTGAGAAGGTTATAATTATGAATTTTAGTTTCTACAATTTCTTTATTAAATATTGTTGTTATATTTAGAGGTAAATTTTCTACATTTATCATTCTAAGAATAAGTTGTACTAAGAATAGTTGTTCTTATCTTTTATAAATGATGAAAGGAATGAGTAATAATTCATTTATCTTACAACTTGTTTGTCAGGTTTTTAGTGAAAGAAAAAGAAAGGAAAGGAAAAAAGGGAAGGGAAGGGGAAAAAAAGGGTGAAAATTTTTCAATTTTTTTCGCTTCCAATTCCTTGTGTTTTGGAGAAAAAAATGAAATAATAATTTATAAACTTATTTTCCCATTAATTCCTTTTATTATAGTATGAAGTCTCATATGATTTTTAAAACCAAACATATGAATATTACTTAATTGCTTTACTTTCCTTTCTTTTTCATACAATTTTCTTAAACAAAACAAGTTAGTGGGATTTATTTGTTGCCTTGGGTTTGTTTATTAGGATATAACTTCAAATAAATTATTGTCTCACAAATCTCATTCCTCGAGAATAATATAAGTAGTTTGGTTAAGAATTATTAAGGATTAGAATACTGTTATTTTATTTTTAACCTACTCACAATTATTTATCCTCATTTCAATTTTTTTATCTTCATTAATCATATCTTATATACAAAAATTCTACATTTCTTTTTTATTCTCCCTAATTTATTTTTTGTGAATATCCTTTCAAGTTTTGAATTTTATCCTAAATTGTCAAATTAAGAAATTAGTTTATAACCATGGCGGTGACCCAAACACACCATATAAGATCACTCTCGGGAACACCACTTCTAGTAGAAACAAACTTCAGCACCACAGATTTTGCAACAACAGTACATGCATCATCTGTGTGGAAGTCTTCGTCACCGTCGCTAAAATGCAAAGTGACATGCCAAACCAGTGACTTAAGTGACACATTGTCACCACCAATCAGCCCATGTCAATCACCAATCCGGGCTGATTTGACATCGGCATGCCAGGCTTTTACGACGGCATCAATTCCAGATTCAACAATGCATAAAGAGAACATAATAGAGGGAGGAAGTGCACATAATAAGAAGGAAAAGGGTGTGCCAGTTTATGTGATGATGCCATTGGATAGTGTTAAGATGGATAACACAGTAAATCGTAAGAAAGCGATGAATGCAAGTTTTCAAGCACTGAAGAGCGCAGGAGTAGAAGGAATAATGATGGATGTGTGGTGGGGTTTGGTAGAGAGAGAACATCCAGGGGAGTATAATTGGGGTGGTTATATGGATTTGTTAGACATGGCGAAAAATCATGGGTTGAAGGTTCAGGTTGTTATGTCATTTCATCAATGTGGTGGTAATGTTGGTGACTCCATCACGTAAGTTTATTTTCTTAAGTTCTCTCTAATCTCTACATAGTAATTATTATGAGAAAATTGCTCTACATAAGTGATTTTTTGCTAATATATATTAACTCTTATGTTATAAGTTTTACCAACTATATTGCAAAATAACAAAGACTTGCCAGAGGTTGAATTTTGGAGATAATATTTCGTGAGTGACAATTAAAATTACTAAACTTGTTTTTGAAATCTAAAATGGAAACACAATTACTATTCAATACCTTGATTTAAATTTATCTTTTCATTAATTGTAATAAAACTTGTAACAAAATATCTGATTAATACTAAAATAGTTACTACCTCCGTTACATATTAGTTGCAACTTTGGATAATATTTGTGAGAGATAAAATATTCCAAAGTTGCAACTAATATGTAACGGAGGTAGTACTCATTTACATTTTCTCTCTTAAATCCCTTCATTTTCCCTCTTAAAATATCTACCTATTTTATTTCTTATTAGATTCCCTAGATTTTAGGATGCATTTTTAATTTTAGGTATAAAATTTGTACAGTTATTACTATTTGTTTAATACACTCTTAACAAACTTCAAAATTTGTTGTGAATATGTACAAGATTTTACTAATGATCGTTTTGAAAGATAAATAATAACAAATTTTATATAAGGATTTCTTTCTTTATAACTAATTTGAGTGCTTTAAAAAAAAAAGTAAATCTAAATTGCAAAAATCTTTAACTTGCATTATTTTACACAAATTTACATTGAAAAAATAAATTAATGGACCAAATTCAATAGAATTGAGGGATTGAATTATTCTAAAGTTATAAGTATGATGCATAATTTCTTGTCTTATTATTTCAAGTTTGAAATTTAACTAATTGATACAAAGGATAAGTTGCTACAATTTTTCTTTTTCATACAGAATTCCTTTACCAAAATGGGTTGTTGAAGAAATTCACAAGGATCTAGATCTTGCATATACTGATCAATGGGGTAGGAGAAATTTTGAATACATATCACTTGGTTGTGATACCCTCCCAGTACTAAAGGGGCGAACACCTTTGCAATGTTATGCTGACTTTATGCGTGCTTTTAAAATTCAGTTTCAACACCTCCTTGGAAACACCATTGTGGTAAGATTCCTTTAAAGTAGCATGGAACTAACTATAGTTTGTTTCCTTGGTCAAATGAAAATCAAGTGAACTAAACAATTCCTTACTATTTTAGTTGTTTCTCTAATATAAGTCATATCTATATAATAATTCTAGAATTTTTTTTTTTTTAACTTCTTACCACAACTCTCCAAAACCTCATTCCTTTAATTTTGTGCACTTTTTTTTTTTTGGAAATAATCTCCAAAGAATTTCATCTCTCCATATTAACTTAGATCACACAAAAACAAAAAAAATAAAAAATTTCCATGACTTCCACTTCTACTAACTATGTAGGTAAATATTGTGTATTTAATTAAAAAAACTAATATCTTCACAGGAGATACAAGTAGGGATGGGTCCAGCCGGTGAGCTACGATACCCTTCATACCCAGAGCAAGATGGAACCTGGAAGTTTCCGGGAATCGGAGCCTTCCAATGTTTTGACAAGGTATACTTTTCCCTTTTTCTCCTTGTTTTATTTTCATTAATACTTCAAAGTTTTTAATAATAAAACATCTTTTATATTTTTAATATATAGTGGTATTGTTTTATTGATTACTTGGCTTGCTTTTATGCAGTACATGAGTAGTAAATTAAGAGATGCTGCAGAAGTTGCTGGTAAACCAGAATGGGGTCACTCCGGTCCAACAGATGCCGGTCATTATAACAATTGGCCAGAAGAAACACAATTTTTTCGCAGGGAAAGTGGTGGGTGGAGTAGCCCCTATGGAGAATTTTTCCTCACTTGGTATTCAAAAATGCTCATAGATCATGGAGGGAATATCCTTTCCTTGGCCACTGAAATCTTTACACATACAAGTGTTAAAATCTCCATTAAAATTGCTGGCATTCACTGGCACTATGGGACACGCTCCCATGCTCCTGAGCTAACTGCTGGGTATTACAACACAAGATTCCATGATGGGTACCTTCCAATTGCCCAAATGCTTGCACACCATGGCGCCGTATTTAACTTCACGTGCATTGAGATGCGTGATCATGAGCAGCCACAAGATGCTTTATGTGCTCCAGAGAAACTAGTGAAGCAAGTTGTTTCAGCTACTCAACTAGCTCAGGTTCGATTGGCTGGAGAGAATGCATTACCACGATATGATGAGCAAGCACATGAGCAAATTTTAAAGGCTTCTACATTAGAAGTAGATGAGAATTCAGGTGAAAGAGGAATGTGTGCGTTCACATATTTAAGAATGAATCCAGATTTATTTCAAGATGATAACTGGAGGAAGTTTATGGCGTTTGTAAAGAAGATGAAAGAAGGAAAGGATGGACACCGATGCTTAGAGCAAGTAGAGAGAGACAATGAACATTTTGTCCATGGCAAACAATTGCTTGTTCAAGAGGCTATTCCAGCTCTTGTGCACTAGGAGAAAAATATGTTTAGAGGGTATAAGAATAATTTCACAATATATCTTTAACACTAAAAATTTATAATGGTAGTCATAATAAAAATATTCACTACAAGAAAAATGTCTTTTCGTTGCGATTATTTTAACATTTCGTATCAATTGTAATGACTACAAAAAAAATCCCAACGAATGGTTATTCGATACAATATCCGTCGTTACCATAGCCTTTAGTAGTGTTTTCCCTTTCGCTGGGGTTGTCCTCATTAACCGATACTGAAAACTACATTTAATCATGGTGATTATTGTAGCGATTATAATCCCTACATATATTGAACTCATTATAATCCCTACATATGCTCTATACAAGATTCGAACATGCAACCTCAAGCTATAATATTTAAATTTTTTTCCAATAAGTTATGACATATTTTATGTTCTCTTTGTCAAACAAAATTGTAAAATCTAAGTGTAAAAAAGGCTTTTCGTATCGATTTTTGGGTTTTAGTGGCGATTGTAAACAATACGCTTTTCCATAATTTTATAAATGTGCAGAATAAAGGTGAATAAATATTATTATGTTTTTCGTATCGATTTTATTTGGGTTTACTATGTTATTTGTAAAATGATACGGATTCCTCTACTATTTCACAAAAATATGTGCATATTGCAACGAATGTACAATCGCTACGAAAAGACAATTTTCTTGTAGTGTCACCTTCTTTTGGATTTACTTTATCATCCTTTTGTTTGAGAATATTGGTCTTAATGTTTAGTGAGATTATTTTAATTACTTAATAAATCGTAAAAAATCTAGATATATTAGCACTAGCTATAAGCTTAGCTTGGATATTTTTCTCCATGATTTACATTATTCAATAAACTATTCTTATTCATCTATCGAAGAACACACTGATATTTTTTGGAAATATGCTCCTCTCATTCAAATATACAATTAGAATGTTTTGAAAATCTCATACATAATATTTAATAAACAAACTATCTATTTTCATTAGAAAGTCAATTCTCTAATTAATAAAAGACTTAGCATTGAAACCAATACCATCGTTTTGACAAATTAAATGGTAAATAGCAAGTGGGTTAAAGATGAATACATTTGCTTTGAAATTTCAAAAGGATTTGAAGTTACTTCGTGAAGACTCCAAAATTATGTCTCTCCAAATAGCACTCGATGACGAGACTACTAAATGCTTAATTAGTCATGTCTTGAATGCGAGCGTAGGTGTTTCTATGATAAATTCTTCTCCAAATGCCCATATCGAAGCCCAAACATACTTTAAAGCCTAAATAAGCCTTTTGACCCTCAAAACCTCTTTTACAAACCCCAGTGATAATTCCCAACCTCAATTGTACACCAATCAACTCAAACGTTTCCTTCAAAAAGCAATCTGATAAGGCAACATGCACTACATGGTTTTAGGGAAAAGCAAACGAAGGTTGTGTGTCAAGTGGCGTACAAGCCTTATGCCAAGTGTAGGTGTTGTACTCTATGCCAGAAGTTATGGATATTTATGTACCACTATAAGATTCATCTTGGCATATCCTTGATAACTTGTTATTTGGTATGATTTTAGGGTACTTTTGAAACTTGTTTTCGTTATTAATCGGCATCAAAGTTCATTATTAATCCTATTTTTATGCAAATTTTGTACCATCCATGCTTCACGGGTTGTTTGTGTTTTTTATGTAATGTAGCTATTTTTAGCACTATGGATGTGATCAATCATGAGTGAGCAAGGATAAGGGCAATCTTGGTTGAAAGAGCCATGGAGGAAGAAGGAGGAGTGCCTTAAAGAGAAATGAAAAGCTTTTGGAGAGCCTTGAAGGGTTGTTTGCGTAAACGTCAACTTCAATTGACCATAACTTTTGATCTACTCAACCTTTTAAAGTGATTCAAATTAGAGATTTAAAGGTCGTCTCAAGAGCTTTCCAACGATTGGTCACAAGTCCATTTTCGGCAAGAAACAAAGAAGTTACAGCCTCCCAAAGTTAAGTTGTCAAGGTAGGGAATTCTGCATGGTCGTGCAACAAAAGGGCACGTTTGTGCAAGGATGCACGTTCGTGCCAAAATCTACATGTCCGTGCCAAACTAGGCACATCCGTGCAAGCCTATTTCCAGGCTCTTTCCTCATTTTCTCCGTCCTTTTTGTTTTGAAGGGGGTATATATACCCCTTGAACTCATTTTGTACGATCATTGAAGTTTTTAGAGCTTTCTCTTACTTTTACAATTTTAGAACATCAAAACTCTCAATCATTAGTTATATTTTAATTATTAGCATGGAAATATTCAACTTCAATCATTGTAGAAGACAAGTTCCACCATTGTTGCTCACTTTGAAGCTTCATAGTAACTATTTCTTACTCTTCTCTTCCATTTCTCTCTACTTAGTTGTTATTAACTTGCTTAATTCTTGTATGCTTAGATTGTTAATTATTTTAACTCTTAGTTTAAACTTGTTCATGAATTGCTTGAAATCTTTAATTGCTTTAATTTCCATGGATTGTGAGTAGTCTAATTTCTAGGGTTTGGGTAAAACCCTCAATGTAGTCACTTATAACTAGTTTCATGTGTTAATTTGGTTATTGTGGGATGTTAATTAGTTGAGCTTAAGTGGTTTAATTGTTTAGTTCTTGTATATGGCCATTGCTAGAACTATTTATCCAAGCTTCCTCAACGAAGGATCGAGAGATGAATTTGAGTTAGCTCCCTTATGCTTAATTTACTTGAAATGCCATGAGAATAGGAATTTCCGGTCAAGGGAATGTTTATGTCATCGTGATTATGCTTTGTAACCACGAGAGTAGGTTGTATTCATGATTCAAGTAATCCCTCTAGCTTGAGAGAGTAGTTGGGTGCCTTAGATGACTTCCCCTATTTTATCCCCTATTTTACCTTGATTGTTGCATGCTAATTGTGATTTGTGATGAAGTTGAGTGGTATAACCCAAGCCCTAGATTCCTCTTAATATTATTAATCTCCCCTTAGCTTTTAGTTGTTTTGAACTAGTAGAAGTTACTTAAAACCAAACCAACTTTGACTTCATTTAGCTTATTTGAACGATAGTATCTCGATGGTTGATTCAACGCCTCTCTTGGGTTCGACCCTTTCTTGCCCTTGCTATTAGTTAGTGAGACCAAGATAGGATTTATTTTGGTAGGCTCGACGACGGCCTATCAATCCCCTAACAAACTTTACCCCCACACTAGTGCACATTATTCTCGGCACCTTGCACACAACCTGCTCTCAGCATTATATACTCCTAAGAAGTGTCTCCCCTTTTAGCACCTAATAACAAAATTGCCATTTGCTAAATCAAGTCAACTCCTAAGGTGAGCAATGATGTTGTCAAGTCCAATACCTACTATCAACCAATCAATAGGGGTGAGCATAATAGGGTACCCTATTAAATTTCTTGGAACCGGAACTTGTTATGCAGCTGGTTCCTCAAAATGGGAATCGGAACATAAACTTGTTGAAGTGGTTCCTAAAAATTGTGAGAACCGAAACTGGTTCTGATTTAGGCTACCTTGTCTTTTTAATATACTAAATAATTTATTGTATAAATATTTTTTAAAATTTGGATGGTCACAAAATTATAACTTTTACAACCTGCAAATACAACAAACCTAAAGTAGTTGTTTAGCAATTTTGATACATATACTTATAATTGTTAATTTATTTTATTTTGTAAAATTTGGGCTTATATATAGGTGTATAATTAAAATTAGTGATATTTTTTAAAATCAAGGTACCCTACAAGTTTCGGTTCCAATAAATTGAGAACTGAACATGAACCTGTTGCACGAGGTTCTCAATTTTATTATCCGGAATCAGAACCTCTTGCCTAGCTAGAACCTGCGGTATCTGATCTAACAAGTTCCAATTCTGATTCAAGGTACCCTGATTTTTTTTCTCACCCCTAACCAAGACCTTTGCCAAGCCTAGAAAAGTCCAAAAATGCCCTCAAAAGCCTAAGTTAAAGCCCGAAAATCGCAAGTCAAAGCCTCTAACCTCAAATGTAAAGCCTAAAAAGTCATCAAACCTTCAAAAAGCCATATACAACCTCAAAAACCAAAAAATACATGGCGTGACACAATTTCCAACCTTCTAAAACCCTCAACTTCCTTATAAATCTTCAAAATCAAAGTTTGTTGTGTTGCTTAGCTTGTGTACTAGACACACAATCAACTTAGCATTTGGACCCATGAGTACTTGCAATCGGGAGATGCTTATGTACTTATGGCGCACAAACACCCTTTCGATGAGGTTAGAGTTTTACGCCATAAGTACCTACATCCTACAGATGCATGTACATACTTATGGCACATGGACCACACCTTAGGCGCATTGTCTATGTGTTTTAACACAACGAATGTTGTTTCAAAACTCTTAGGTTAAACATTATAAGTACCCCCCTTTTTTCAAATAATCACTAGTAGAAAAACTTCTATTAGTAATTGGCGAAAAAACTTTTAGTAACTGGCATTGTTAGTTACTAATAATGTACTATTTATAATTGGCCTAACTTAATGCCAATTACTACTAGTGTAACACCCCGACCCCAAACAAATTAGGGAGGGGTCTATTGTCATGAAATGTGCATCGAGGGCCAACAAATGTCCCCACAGACCAACACAAGTCCTTCCGGCGCATTTTGTTCTCACTCATGCGCACCTCGAGAAAACTTCCCAGGAGGTCACCCATCCCAAGACTACTCCCATCTAAGCACGCTTAACCGTGGAGTATCTTAGCATATGAGCTCCCTAAAAGGAAAATGCATCTTGTTGATATGAGTAGTATATCAAATCCTTTTTAAAGCAATCATGAGGGGTATTACAACTAGTCCATTTTTCATAAGTTCATATATGTTTACATCAAGCCCAATCCAATAAGTTTCAATCAAGTTTAATAAGTTTAAATAAGGTCTAATATAATTATAATAAACTAGTTTTGTACCCCGTGCCAGGGCTTTTTTTTTATTGAATTTTAAGATAATTTGTTTTATCTATATGCCAAATCTTAAAATATATAATTGATACAAACATTGTTGTATAAAAGGTGTATATTCTATTTGGTTTAACATATTTTGAAGTACAATATCATTGATTTTAATAAGAGCACAATATATATTATCTAGAAATATACATTATTTTTTTTTACTCATGGATTTATAATCACTTGACAATCATACTTGTAAAATAAAAAATAAATAATAAATAGCACTACCGTTGATGTGGGTGGTTTTGGGTTGTACTTTGGGCTATTTGGTAGCTCTTGAAAGTGACTTAAGTAGCATGACTAGAGAAATTAAAAAAATCACTTTAAAGTTGCACCTATTTTCATGTTATTGGATGATATTTTTAGGATAAGTTATCTTTAATGTCTTTAACTTTACTCATGTTTGATAGACGGGTAATACCATTGCCCATATGATAGCTAATAATGGGAGATTGATATGAATTTGTAATGCTTATGTACGACTGATCTTAATTTAATTTAACAATATTCGCAACGTCTTTAGAAAAATATAAACTACAATATAGCAATTATAGTACTCTTTATTATTAGCTGATTTAAATTTATAAGATAATTATTAAGAGTTATAATCTAAAATTTTTTAAACAAAATTATAATTTAAGGCCTTGTTTGGTGGTAGCGTTTGAGGTAGCGGTTAGCCTTTTAACTGGTCAAAACACTACTAGAAAAAATTGCAGAGTGTTTGGCTATGTTGCAGTTCTAGTAGCGATAGCGATAGAGGTAGCGTTTAGGTAGCTTTTCTCAAACGTTATAAATAGTAGCGTTTATTAGTAGCGGGTAGCGTTTGGCAAATTTTTATTACTTTTTAAACAATATTTATATGAATTTTGATATATTTTAGTATAGCAACCGCTACTTTTGCCAAACACTTATACTATCAACCGTTACTTTGACAGCTACCCGCTACTACCTTAACAGCTACCCGCTACCGCTGCTTTTGTCAAATAGGGCCTAATTTGTACTTATGAAATATTTGAATTTTATCGATAATAAAACTCTAAATCAGTCAATATGTCCTAAAGTTCTATCCAAATTTTATTGAAAATAAAACTCTAAACTTTTTTGTCCTACAAAATCTATATAAATCTATCTAACTTTTTTATTCAAAAAAAAAAATATATTCAAATAAATCTTATGTGTCTAAATAATCATTTAATGTTGCCTACGTGACACGACACTTGGCGAAAAATTGAAATGCCAAGTGTCGTTTGTCTTGTGGCCTAACTATAAGTTTTGCTTTATATATTAGTTACTAGTTTTGTCCCCGGACGATGCCCAAATTGTTGATAAATTGGTTTAATTTACAAACACATGGTCGAATAATTGTGCTTGCTTGTGCTTTATAACATAACTTAGTAAAGCGTACATGCTTCCAGAATTACTTTGTGATATTATTTATTTTTTATGCTGAAATTTGTTTGTTACATTTGAACTCAAGACTTGTATGTTTATTTCAATTTTTTTGATTTTTTTTAATATTAAGTCATGGATGTTGTAATTGGGCTTATATTTATTTCTTTTATTTACTTGTATTGAATATTTTCTTGGTTAATTTCATTTTTATATATATTAGTGTTGTTTATGCATGTTAATATGGTTCAAATGCTATAGTAGGATGGACGAAAGTAATGCAAGTGGAGGTGGAAGAGGGAGAAATAAATGATTTTGGACCACTCAGGAAGATAAAATTCTCGTAGAAGCATTGTCAGAGCCAGTTGTTGACCCTCACTGGAGGTGTGATAGTAGAATCAGAAGCGGCTATAAGGTTTGCTTGGAGGAGGTCATAGGTAAGGCTCTTCCTGGTTGTGGTTTGAAGACTTTACCACACATTGACTCCCATCTTAAGACACTTGTAGCCAAGCTTATGGCTATTTATCATATGTTAAATACAAGTGGATTCGTTTGAGATGATGAACAAAAAATGTTTTGTGTGGAAGAGTCTGTTTATGATGAGTTTTGCAAGTTGTGATAACTTTTGTTAGGTAATTTTAATTATGTTTGAGATACTTGATGATGCTATATATTTGATTATTATGTTTATTTTTGTCCTTGTCAAAATCATCCGTGTTGCAAAAACTTGTATGGAGTTCCTTTTTAGTAATTTCATGAACTTAAGAATATTATGGCAAGGACTATGCTATTGGAAAACCAACTGAAGATTTTGTTGAGGCAATCAACAATTTGAAAAAATTTGTCACTCCACTGGTTATGCTCAAATTAAGTGATGAAGAGGAAATAGTTGGTAGTAATAATGCCACTCAAACTGTTAAATCTTTTCTCCTCCTCCAAAAAAGATAAGATTGAAATTTTTTACAAAAAAAGAAGTAAGAGAGGAAGTGGTGGTGCTGGAAGTTCTAATGAGTTGTCTAGCTTACAAACATTCATGAAAGACATGAATATATACTCATCTTTCCACTATGACTACTGTGATGGCATGCACTGATGATCGTAAACAACATGCGGATGAAAGAAAGCAAAATTTAATCGAGACAAGTGAACAAGTGATAGAGGAACTACTCTTTTTTAATTTAGAAGGTGTCACTCCCACCCAAGTTTTTGAAGTGGCCAACATTCTAACCACACAACCAAATAAGCTCATGATATTTTCAAAGAATCCAAACGATTTGAAAAGTGACTATGTAAAGAGTCTTCTAGGGGGAAGTAATGATAGTAATGCTTAAATCTTATGTTGTGGTTTAATGTATGGTTTTCAATTAGCTTAGGTGTTATTCACAAACTACTACTTTGGCAAGAAGAGCTATTGGCTAGGACTTCAGTTGCATGCTAATCTTATTAAATCACTTTTGGTATGAACTTTTGTGCAGGAACAAGTATTTTGGTATTATTTTCACCAAGAAATGATAACTTGAATTTGTAATCAATGGAGCTAAAAAGATGTTATTTTAAATTTATATTTTTTTGCTTAAAATTTTCCTTTTATATTATAGGAAAATATGAAACAGGTTTATCATATTATTTTTTAATAGCAGGTTTATCAATTTTATTCCTAGAAGAAACATGTTTATAGTATATAACAGGTTATTGTTGGAAAAAATAAAAAGAAATTAAAATACATAGTTTGATTCTCTTGTTTGTACCGAACAATCACAAAGGGAATCAATGGGTAGTTCATTCCGTTTCCTGGACACAAACAACCAACCAGGCCAAATCAGGGTCAATCCTTTTCTTTCTCTTTCTTTCCCTCTCTGCATTCCATTCCCATTCCCTAGTGCGAACCAAACAATTCCTTAGTGGATTAAACAAAGATAAATACTCATTTTAAATAACATAAAACAAAGTCTAGTACTCGGTAAGACACAAGAATGTGAAGCCCAGTCCAAACTCAATTAACAACAAAATCCAAAGCCCAAAATTCTGAAAAAAAAAAAAAAAAATTAACGTCGTCTTCCTCATTTTCTCTCATCTTTGTATTCAATTTTTAGGTTTTTATTCAATTATTATTGATTATTAAAATCAAAATTATTATTGATTTTCTCATTTTCTCTCTCCTCTTTCTAGTTTGTTGGGGTTCCTTCCCATTTCGATCTTCCCCTTTGGTGGCTGCTAAATACACCAACCCCACCATAATTCCCTTAATCTTCTCTTTCAATTCTAATCACAATCCTTTCTAAATTCATCAATATCCATAATTCTAATTCAATTTCCCTTCACTTAAATCTTCTCATCTCACCTTCCTCTTCACAAATTTTCTGGGTTAAATCATCAAATTTCGAAGAGAAATTTGTGAAAAAATGGTGGGATTTTGATGTGGGTTCTTAATTTTTTGATTAGTTTATGAGGTGGGGTTGTTTAAATGAGGGATCCAATGTGGGTGGATGATGCAAGTGCCCCATCAACCTCAAACACTTTGCCGCGTCCAATATCAAGTAATTCTGCTCCTCGACGCAGGTGGGTTTTTACTTTCGATTTCGAATTTTTTTTCTTGATCTTGTAATTTAATTTTTAATTTTTAGAATTTTTTTATATTTTTTTTTTGAATTTAACTTTACTTGAGCTGAAGATCTGGTAGATTTAGATGTTGAAGCTTTGAGATTTTGTAAATTGGATTTGTTTTGGACAATTTGATCTTTGAAGTTGCATGTGGTTTTTTTTTTTTTTTTTTTTTTTTTTTTTTTTTTTTTAACTTTTTTAATTTGTATATTATATATACTTTGTATATTTTTATCTGATATTATTATTATTATTATAAATTTTTGAAGTAGGGTTGAGAAACTTATATGTGTTGTGAATATGATTTACATTAATTTCGTGAAGATATTCGAACATTTAGATGATAATTGGGAACTACAGTTGAAGATTTGTTCATATGGTAAATGATGGAATTTCCATGTGAATAATTTTCCTCTTTTAACTAATTTTAGTCATTGATTTCGTAGTAGATATGGTATTCTATAAGTGGGGCTCCAAAGTTGAGGAATTTCTAATTATTAAGAGTAACTATGCGTGTTGTTAGAGTCTTATGCCGGACTTAGCATTAATAGATCTCTACTGAATTTTGGGTATGCTATTGTTTTATTTTAAGCAGTGGAGACAATGTATTCAACCTTTTAGCTCGTAGAGAGATCAATCCTCGAACAAAGCGTTCAACGAAAAGGTTGTGGGGTGAAAGTTCAGAGGGTGGTTTTGATGATCTTAGCCGTATATTTGAGGCCGGAAGAGATGCAAGACGTAGCCTCATATCATGGTAATACTTCTCATCTTCTTGGTGGCGACTCTTATAGTTTCCTTTTATTAAAAAAAAGCTTCGTATATCTTTTTAACTCATTTGAGTTGTATCCCAGGGTTGAGGCAGAGTCATTGCATCATTTATCAGCCAAGTATTGCCCTCTCGTACCACCTCCTAGGTCAACAATTGCAGCAGCTTTCAGTCCAGATGGGAAGACACTTGCTTCCACACAGTGAGTTGTCTTATAACCCGGACAAGTTTTGTTGATAGAGATGTCAGTATCATGTTAACATGTTAAGTTTTTACTCATGCAGTGGAGATCATACTGTAAAGATAATTGATTGTCAAAGTGGAAACTGTCTGAAAGTGCTAAGTGGGCATCGGAGGACACCATGGGTGGTGAGTTTCAATCTCTATTAGTGTAAAAAACTTTCAAACATGAGTCTTTTCATTGGTGGAGTCCATTTAAGGAAACTGAGGCTCTCTATCTTGCACATACATTTACCATTGTGCTCGTGCATGTTGATAAATGACTATGGCAACCTTCTCTTTCTCTTGGTAAGGAATGTGATTGCATTTTGAAATAACCTTTATAATGCAGATATGATGGTAATATAGAGTAGTGATATAAGCTTGGCATTGCTACTTTCATATATCTACATGACTACTGGCTAGGCCTTTGGTGATAGATATATAGTGAACACAGCTACACTTAAATTTATTGGTTCTATTATATGCTTAGGTGTTTGTAACTTGTAGCTAGCAAGTGTGTATCTAAGATTTGGTTTTCTAGAATTGCCGATAAAAAGGGAAGATCACATGAAGTGAAAGTTTTTTTTTCCTTCTTTTGAGAAATAATTGTGACCTTTTTTGCAAGGGAAATAATATGATAATGAATGATACTGACATTAATGTGGTTAAAGAACAACTGTGATAATTTGGGGTTGCAAAGAGTACAAAAGAAAATAAAGCCAGACATTTTAGAAGGCACAGCTTTTGCAGTAGGCAACTGTGATACCTTGGTTAAGTCACTTGCCATAATAAAACAAATCAATATAATGACGTAGCTGGCTTAACGAGTCCTATAGGTTTGGTCTAGGATATTTGTAACAGGCTGAGGTTGTCATTCGAGAGAAGTTTATTATACCTGATTCTACATCTATTTTGGAGGCCTTTTCTTTCCGGGATCCAAAGTAGTTGGGATGCTTCGTATGCCTTTATATTTCTAAGATGTATGTGAATATTAGAGATGTTGTTTATGTAAATGTGGTTCAGTTTTATGCTTGTAATGTTTTGACATTTTGTTCTTAGCTTGAAACGAAATGTGTTTAATTGACAAGGATTAGAAGTTGTTTGCCAACTTGAGTGAGATTGAGTATTTTCATTCTGAAGGAATTGTGATTTGATTTTTCACTTGAAGTTTTGTTTTCATGGTGATTGATTGATGTGCAGATTACATTTTGTGGTTTATGTCTTGATTAAAATTGTTCTTATTTTTGCCTTTTGGGAACTATTCAGGTCAGGTTCCATCCAACAATTCCAGGCTTGCTCGCTAGTGGGAGTCTAGATCATGAAGTTCGGCTTTGGGATGCAATTACAGCAGAATGTATTGGGTCACGGGATTTTTGTAATTACTTCTAGCTCTGATGGTTTATTTTAATGTTTGTAATGCATTTTTTTTTCCTTTTTTATGTTAACGTCTCTTGTATAAAATATAAATAAATTAACCTAGTTTGTCCATTCTCTCTTTTTCTTAATAACTCCTAATCTGAATGTTATATTTGTTGCAGACCGACCAATTGCTTCTATTGCTTTCCATGCCCAGGGGGAGCTGCTTGCAGTTGCTTCAGGACACAAGGTAAGAATGCTTACTTTTCTAAAGTGTTTTAGGTTTTATGCTCAATCAAGTGATGCTGAAGTAAAAATTCTGTTTTGGCTAGCTATACATATGGCACTATAATGAAAGAGGTGAAATGTCAATCCCTACTGTTGTCTTGAAGACACGGCGTTCTTTACGAGCTGTTCACTTCCATCCACATGCTGCACCTTTTTTATTTACAGCTGAGGTAAGCTGGTTCATTCAAGATGAAATTAATTATTGCGTCAATATTCTTTGTTTTCTCATGACTTTCTCGGCATGCAGGTCAATGACCTTGATTCTTCAGATTCATCAATGACACTTGCAACTTCTCAGGGTTATGTGCGATATCCACCTCCTACTGTATATGTTGCTAATGTTCATGCTTCTGATTGGTCTAGCTCAGCTGAGGAACTTCCTCTCATGTCCCTTCCTTTCTTGATCTGGCCTCTGCTCTCCAGAAATGATGGAAGAATATCTTTTCAGCACTCAGATGGAAATGCAGGTTCAAGTAGTATGCAGCAGAGGTTTGGTCCTTCTTCGTCGGTGAGGTTGCTAACATATTCAACCCCATCTGGACAGTATGAGCTCTTGTTGTCTCCCATTGAATCCAGTAACACTTCTTCGGTTCCGAATGAAATGCGGCCTGTATCAGCTGAGGTGGAAGCTATTGCTCCGGAGTCTGCTGTGGATGTTATGGAAACATCTGATGTACAGCCTGAAGAAAGAAACACTCAATTTTTCCCTTTCGGAGACCCTGCGTATTGGGATCTACCTTTCTTGCAAGGATGGTTAATTGGTCAAAGCCAAGCTGGACAACGCATGGTACGTCCTGTAAATTCTAGTTCGCAAGAACCTCCTACTGCACAAAGTGAGATGATAATTCAGGATCCAGTGGCTTCATCAGCCATGCAAATGGGTACATCTTACACAAGGGGCAGCGGTCGGTCCAGTTCTCGGCATCGTTCGTCACGTTCCCGAGCAGCAGCTAGTACTCCTGCAGCGGAAGCAGCTGCTATTCCACAGGATGAAGGTGACCCTCATCTTGTCATTAGCAGAGTTCAATCTGAGCTTGCCACATCACTAGCAGCTGCTGCAGCAGCAGAGTTGCCATGCACGGTGAAACTTAGAATATGGCCATATGACATAAAAGATCCCTGTGCTCATCTTGATGCGGAGAAATGTCGTTTGATTATTCCTCATGCTGTACTCTGCAGGTGAGCTAATATATTGCTATATGCATTTTCTACCTGCTAAACAACTGTTTGACTATATGAGATGGGCTTTTGCTTTCCTGCTGCTAGGGCTTTATTGGTGAAGCTTTCATATATTGGAATAAAGCAATGAACCAGCTGATTTTTAATTTTATTTATATTCTTTATGTTGAATTTTTGCATCATGTGACTTTGTTGTGCTCATTATGTTTTGCAGTGAAATGGGTGCTCATTTTTCTCCATGTGGGAAATTTTTGGCTGCTTGTGTTGCATGCATGCTGCCGCAGTCAGAAGGTGAACCTGGAATTCAGACGCAGGCACACCATGATGCATTAGGAGCTGCAACTTCACCAACAAGGCATCCAATCTCAGCTCAACCAGTTATGTATGAGCTACGGATATATTCCCTTGAGGAGGCAACGTATGTGATCTAATTATTGTTCTTTGTCTATTTATTTATTTATTTATTTATTTATTTATTATTATTATTATTATTATTATTATTATTATTACTATTATTATTATTATTTTTATTATTTTTCTGGTTAAATCGCTTATCTATATGGTTTTCTATTGTAATGATTTAGGTTTGGGTTAGTACTTGCGTCACGGGCAATAAGGGCTGCCCACTGTTTGACGTCAATTCAGGTCTGTCATTGATATCCTTTCCCTTTGGCATATCTGCTTCTTAGTAATTATGATTCTTGTTTGTGGAACATATGTGATGTTACTGTTGCTAACTGTTCACAGGCTCTACTTTGACTAGCTTTTGTGATTTATAAGTCATGATAAAATAGTCATGTAAGATCTTGTTAGAATCATCCCAATGTATATTTTTAGAATATCAACTTTTTTATAATTTTTATCTATTGATTATTTGAGATATGAATTGTTGAACTTGTGCGTTGGCAAACGTTATAAAAGAAATGTGCTAACTAGAGCATAGGAAATAAATAACCTAAAAAAGGCTCAAAATCTTGCGAAATAGATTATGTTTCGACTTACTTATGGAACCTTGACTTCAATGAAATTCTGTCTGGAATAGTTTACACTCTGATCTGGCTGCTAGCATAAGGGAAATATATTATACATCTGTACGACTATTGAACATAACTTAAACAAGTGAACAAAACCACTAATATGAATGACCTAACAGGCTAACATCACAAGCATATGATTATCGAGTGTACCCTACCTTGTATGGATTGCTATTAATTGGGTATTGGCTCTGTTATGGACTTCAGAGATAATGTAATGAGTTGCCCAAGCCCTAGTATTACTAAAAGAGAATGAATTGCTTGCTAAGAATTTTCTGCTGTACTAACTCAAAGGTAGGCAGCCAATTAGAAATCCGTAATTCAAATAATAGAGATCAAACTAATCAACCCGTTTTAGGGGCATCTAACCTTAAAAGTATAGAATTAGTGAAGCATAAATTCTTTTATATAATGAAGTTAATTATTTGGTAAGAAATTATTTTGTGAGGTGTTCTGGTTATTATTTAAGGATACTAGATCTAGATTTTCTAGTCAAATCCGTGATCTTTTATTGTTTCTATCTGTTTTGGGAACATGGTGAGTAATTATGAATAGAGTAGTGTTTACTTCTGTCTTTAGTCTCTATTTATTGGCACTATTGAATTCTCGTACTTGGCAAATTTTTTCTTGTGACACTACACTGAAATGTGTACGAGATCCTGGTCAGATTTGGTAGGTATTACTCGGAAATGGCTACTTCAGATCTTAGGCTATGGAAACCCTATGATTACAAAAAGTGAATCAATTTTATGAGAAACTAGAGTTAATGAATCTTGGCTTTTTGTCACCCTAGTGAGGGGAATTCCATGGCGGTACTCTCATCACTTGCCTGCCAGGCTGCCAGTGATAGGATTTGTACATGGGCGGGAAAATAACAGAGGAGCTGGAAGGAAATATCATATATGCAAAGAGATATGGAGAGTGTTGGGGTGGAGAGAAATAACTTGTGGTTGTGTCTCTTTTAGAATAGTAAAAAAAGTTGGTTATGAAATTTTTTTTATTTATTTTTTTAAAAGTAAATGGATATACCTTTATTTTCCTACAATTATAGTTACTTTATATCGTACGGTTCCTTATGACAATTCATGTTAGCCGACCCCAAATCATTTTGAGACTAAGGCTTTGTTGTTGTTGTATAGTTACTTTATATTTAATAACTTTGAATTTCATGTGCTATCTTATTAGTATACAAACAAATTTTATATTATTAGCACTTGTCCTAGTTTTAGAAATTGCCACACCCGACACTCGAATCCATACCTTACCCGACACTCCTAAGCTACTCTAAGTAACTTAGCTCACAAGTCATAACCTACAATGGATGTCCATTTTGACTTTTTGAGATGTTGCATGCCATTCGTTTTTCCTTTTAAGTTCAAACTCCAATTTTTATTTATTTATTTATTTTTTTGGGGGTTGGGGGGGGGGGGGGGAAGTGGGGGTGGAAGATTTTTGTGAATGACTATACTGAATAATCATTTTTGGTTCATGTAGCCGACCCCACTCATAAGATTAAGGTTTTGATTGATTGATTGGGAGGAAGTGGGGAAGCTGCTGAGCATATTTTGCAGCTGTCACACATCTACAATTCTACATAAAGGACAAGTTATGTTTTAAAAAAAAAAAAACAATAATAAAAAAGGGCTAGTTATGTGATTGATAGGGATGAAATATGATGTAGGCAAAGTAAACATGATCACCCAAATTCTGTAGGGATTGGAGGATAAAGGGTTTCTATAAGTCAGAATGAAAATTTCTTAAATGATTCAAACAAGCTGCTGTCTTTTACGGACGCATTGACATTGGATGGCTGTGAAAAAGCTGTTGTTTGATATAGTATGAGGCTCCCTAGTTGATAATCTTTCTCCTATCAGGTTTAGAACAAACTGAAAAAATGCTTGACTTATGGATTGGCTTTTTTGCTTTTATGTTGCCTGTCTAATGCAATCCCACTCAATTTATCTGCATAGGACTTGTTGTGTTTGGGCATGATAAACTTTCTCCTATCAGGTTTAGAACAAACTGAAAAAAATGCTTGACTTATGGATTGGCTTATTTGCTTTTATGTTGCCTGTCTATTGCAATCCCACTCAATTTATCTGCATAGGATTAGTTGTGTTTGGGCATGGAAGGACTTTGTTCTCAGTGAAGCTCACTTATGGCTTTAATTCCCTCCTGTCTAGCCTCGCCAGTTGTCACTGAAAATAAAAAATAAAATAAAACCTTGTTGATTCAATTTTTCTCCTACCTGGTTTAGAACAAACTAAAAAAAATAAAATAAAAATAAAAATAAAATTGTGTGCGTATGAAGTATGGATTGGCTCTTTTGCTTTAGCCTGTCTAATGCAACCCCACTCTTTTTATTTGCTTGGGACTAGTTGTGTGTGGGGATGGAAAGACTTCCTTACCAGTGAAGGTCACATACTTAGTTTCCTCCTTTCTTGTCCTCACCAACAAAACAAAAATAATAGAAGAAAACAGTACCAGTGTTATAATTGTTTAACAATGTTACATTTTGTTTTTATCCCCCCCTCTCACACTTAACACCACAGAAATTGAAAGATTGATGGACATGATTATTAAGTGGTCTGGATATATATGATGGTAAAGATCTTGTAAGTTGATTTGTACGGGGACTATTGAGGCATCCAAGCCCTATCACCAGCTTATTAACTTTATTTACCTATTTACTGGTTTATCATGTTCCATTTCCTAATTTTTTGGGCTTATATAATGTTTTAATGCTACCTTGCAGTTCTCACCGACATCGGAACACTTGTTGCTTGCCTATGGACGACGCCATAATTCTCTTCTCAAGAGTATTGTCTTTGATGGGGAGACTACAGTCCCCATTTATACGATTTTAGAGGTAATTTTGGGTATACATAAGTAATTGTTTCACAAATCATGTATTCTTCTGGATGTGGTCATGTGTCTTGACATGCTGAGTGATTTTGGTTTGTTAAAAATCTTGTGTATCGACTATTGAATTTGATATCAAATATTGTATGTTGTATTTAATTTTTAGTCATCCTTTCTTTTGGCTGGTCCTTTGTGCTTTATGTAGAAAATTGGTCTCATTAAATAGATGTTCCCTAAAAACATTGCTTTTACTGTTTATATGTCAGCTTTCTTCTCTGTACTGTTGTACTTCTACTTAAGTTTGGTTTAATCTTCCAGGTGTACAGAGTTTCTGATATGGAGCTGGTGAGAGTCCTACCAAGTGCAGAGGATGAAGTTAATGTGGCTTGTTTTCATCCTTCTGTTGGTAGCGGTCTTGTTTATGGAACCAAGGTGGAAATTTGGGATCCTTTTGTGGTATTATGTCATAATTTAATATTGTTGAATCTCTAATAAATTTTTACTGCAGGAGGGGAAGCTTAGGCTTCTTCAATTCGACAGTTCCAATAGCCTTAACTGTACAACTTCTTGCTTTCCTGATGAAAACTTGTTGGAGGTAAGGATGACGCAAATTGCTAGTTTTGCTTTCCTAATGCTTGTTGTTCATATTAGGGCATGGATTAACTCTGTAGCATTTGTTTTTTCATACGTTAATTTGTATAGTGGTATGCAGCACAAAATACAGATTTTATACAGAATAAAATATAGGTATGGGGAATGACATACTGAAACCGATGTAAATATGCAGGCTTTTTTTTTTTTTTTAATTTTTAGTTTTTTTCAACCGAGTCGGGTTCTTTGGGAAGTGAAAGGAAATGGAGGGATTAATTTTGCATCCCCTTTTAATATACCAAATCCCTCCATTATTGGAGAGACTTGAAAGGAAATTGGAGGTTGCTCTCTCCCTCCCCCCACCTTCCTTTTTCTTCCCTACCCCTTCCCTTTATTGTTGTTATCCATAGTGTTGAGGATAATAACTTAATTTTAAAGACACTATATATATACTAGTTTTGTGCCCGGCGCTCACATGGTTGATAAAATTTTAGGATAAATTTTTTGTCTTGAATGTTATATACGGTCATATAATCCCTTTTGATAATTAAGGATATTTAGACATATGATATCATATCGCTTATTTATATAATATGCACTTTTTGTAGTTTTGTTTGTAAATAGATATATACTCCGTATATGTTATTATTGACTTGAAATTATTTTTATTGAATTTATTTTTAAGCCTGATTAAAGCTTATCTAACTTTCTCTATTATTTTTTAAATAAATTAAATATATTATAAATGGATTTTATTTTAAGGAACTTTTTAAAACAAATTTTTTTGATGGAAATAAAACCGAGTCATAGGATATTTATTAAAAGTTATGATTAATTATGTATATATGTATATATGAAATATTGGAAGCAAATCGATAATAAAACTACAGTATTTTTATCTTACAAAATCTATCCAAAATCCGCTTACTTAGCATCATATGAGTCACAATAATACCCATTTGTTGCTTATGTGGTGTGACACTTGGTGAAAAACCGGAATGTCAAATGCCGTTGTCTCGTGACTTGGTTGCGAGATCCGATTTTTCTTATTAGTGATATATATATAAAGTCTATAAAGCCCGTAGATATAGGTATATGTGTAGAGCTAATTGGTATATATTCGTTAAACTAATTGTCTTGCTTGATACAGCTGCTGATTATGCTAAAAGCAACAAAAAAGGGTTTGTGTGAAAATGGTTACAATTAATTATTAAACAATGATTTGAAAAAGAAGGAAAAATAGTAAAAATAGCCATAAGCCATAACTCGGTTCTGACTGTGTAAGGTGTCTGGGAATTCTTGAACAAATCTGAGCTGAATAGTAGTAACAGCTTTTCTGAGGTAGGTAGGTAGAATGTACTAAAAATTGGTTTACAGGTAAAGTAATTTGCAGTTGTGGTAGCTCTTAGACTACTCTTTGTTGCATAGATTTGATGTGTGTTGTATTGTGTGAGCAGTACCGAGACATTAGGATTCTGCTGTGTTTGGTTTTCGAATGCATGTATTTTATCATTATAGTTAGGCTACATCATCTTTGTACTTACTCTAATCTCGTAGCTTGGAACAAATGGTTTGCAGGTTCCATCACATGCTTTAGAATGCTGACATTAGGAATGATTCTCACACCAGGCATGCATCCGAGTTGAACTGGTTAGTTTTTTCCTCCATATGCCTATATTGAGACTGATTATAGTTCCTTGAGTTTTATCAATTTATCGTTTTATGCCCTCTCCTAGTGCTTCCCCCCTCCCTCTTTAGAAAAGGATGGTGTTTATTATGGTGGGTGGAAAAGATTTTTGAAAACTAGCTTGACATTCGGTAGTTTTTAATTTGAATTATATGCACATGTTTTTTCTATGAGAAAGGTGGATTGGAAAAATAAAGTTAGAATTAAATTATTTTGCTCTCTAGTTCCAGGAGCACAGGGACGAAAATGGAACCAAGGAATTGACAGTTGGGATGCCACAAAGTGTTTTTGTTCCCAGAAATGTGAGTGAGGTTATACATTTCTTGTAGCCTGTTTATACCAAAGCTGTTTCAAGAGCTGCCCACTCAGAGCCTCACACTTTCTTTTCAAATCATTCCACTGTGACTAGTCAGAATGGCGCAAGTCAATCATATTTAAGCAAGTTTAACTACTCCTATTATACCTCGAGGATGGGTTTGTTGATTAAGATCAAGCTTTACAGCAGCTGCAGGGGAAGATGGAAGTATGTTTTTACATTGTATCATTTGTAATTTAACAGGGCTCTGAGCAACTAGTAATCGTGCTCTCTCAAGAATTCAGGGTATAACAGTCGATGTATTAGTTGTATGTCTGTCTGTCTTCATTTGAAAATTGAAATGCCCGAGATTCACATATGGTCGAATGGGTAGTTGTAGCAACTGATGATATAACACCGACGGTGTTAGTGGTGGCGTTGGTGACGTAGGAATGCTGTTCCATATAAAAATTGTTTTACTTTTGCTTACTTGGAAAAGAAAAATGTAAAAAGAAAGTTGTTCCGGCTTGGAACTCATTGCTTTTCTGGCAAGTACTTGTGGAATGGCCATTTTACTCCGTATTACTTTTACGGGTTTTTCCTGATTTTCATTTTTAAAATTCTATAAATATTGATTAGAAAAATACAGTTTAAAAATATATAAAGAAGATAAAGAAAGATGCAATACTCCGTAATACCCACCCTGCTTACATTTCTTTTAATATTAAACTCAATTAATTATTTTTTTTTTTTTTTTTTTTTTTTGTTGACAAATAACTCAATTAATTTACTTAAAACTATGTGTTGGTTAAAATGTAACATTTTTTAAAAAAATTACGGAAGTAGTGTCAATGTTATATGAATATCACCTATACTTTTTTGTTGTAAAAAGCTAGTAATAAAAACAAAGTACTTAATCATTATCATTCAAAAAGCAAAAAAAAAAAATAAAAATACAAGGATAGAAAATTAGAAATGAGGTATGCTGAAAATTTTTATGAGGCGATAGATGAAAGGGAGACCTCACATAGATAGTAATTTTAATATTGTAATTATATAAAAAAACAAAATTTATGATGTTATTATTCATTCAATTACAACTAATATTACGAGTAATGTTTATACACTAAGACCGTGTAAAATTAATATTAGTAAAAATAATTTATGGTTAGTAAAAATGAATTAAGTTTAGTAAACATAATTTAAGTTCAGAAAAAAATCAGTAACTTTAATGAAGAATTATAATAAAAAAAATCAGTAAAAATAATTCCAGTTTTGTAAAATTAATTTTAGTTCTACAAATTTAATATAAGACCGTGTTTGGTGGTAGCGTTTGAGGTAGCGATTAGCGTTTTGACCAGTCAAAACACTACTAGAAAAAAAAATAACATTGTTTGGCAAGGTAGCGGTGTGTGTAGTGGTTAGCGGAAGAGGTAGCGTTTAGGTAGCTTTTCTCAAACGTTAAAAATAGTAGCGTTTAAGAGTAGCGGGTAACGTTTGTTAATTTTTGCTTACTTTTTTTTTTTTTTTTTATCAATTTATATGACCATTAATATATTTTAGTATTGCAACCGCTATTTTTGTCAAACACTCATACTATCAACCGTTACTTTGACAGCTAACCTCTACCCACTACAATTTGACAGCTACTCGCTAATCTAACAGCTACCCGCTACTTGACCGCTAAAAGGTACCCGCTACCGCTAGTTTTGTCAAATAGGGCCTAAGTTCAGCAAAAATAATCTCAGTTCAGTAATCTCAATTAAGCAAAATAAGGTGAAATGAACAGGGTCTAATACTGAATGATATTATAATAATCAAATTTCAAATTCTAACTTTAAATTTTTGGATACTAACTCTGTTTCTATATAAATGTTACACTTTGCTTATGCGGTTTTATTTATTTATTTATTATTTTTTATTATTTTTAAATTACAATTTTTTTTTCCATAATAGTTTTTTTAACACACCTTTTCTTTTCTCTATGCCTCTACCAACTTTTTACACATGTAACTAACATTATCCTACCACTCATCATATCATTCAATATGAAGTATTTTCTTAGCAAATAAGTCTTGTATCAGACAAGTTTATATTATTTTTTGTAATATGGTCAATTTGGGCCTTTTGGGATAACTTTAACAATATTATGGTAACTTTAAACCCTTTAACGATAACTTTTTATTTCTAACGACGAGTTTGATTGTATTTTAATGTGTAATTTTTAATGGATACATATTATTATGGCTAATATGATTAATATGATACATTGTAACTGTTTTTGAAGGGTAAAATTTATGTTAGGAAAATAGTAACTTTTGCACTCCGTAATATATAATGAATAAACTTTAAATTTTTTTAGGGTAACTTTAACACGTCTTACAATAACTTAATAAAAGTCTGCCTTAATCAAAAATTTGTGTTATCCTTGATTATGTATCTACATTAACCTAACCTGAAAAAAAGGGGTATATCGAGTATTATATCTGATCCATTTGAGTACCCAAAGTTCGGTAAGTTCGGGTTATAGATATCAATTTTTTAATGTAGCCAGTCATATGATATGATAATACGGAGCTCCCAATTTGATAACGATAATGGTTTGGGTATCCAACTTAGGGCTTGTTTAGTTCACCTCAATTTTGCTTATATGATCTGGTATGATGTGATTGTCTGATTTGACTAAACTTTTGACCTTATGTGTATGGTAATCTTTAGGGGGTATTTAATAAGAATAATAGAAATAGAGTGGAAAGGAAACAAATAATAGAGAGGAAATGAATCATTTAACAGTTACATTTTCGTTTATTTGGTTTAATCATGGAAAGGAATCATTTAAACCTATCTCCCTTTATTTTTGTTTGAGGAGAGTAAGAGCAATTGTTACCTTAGGTTTTAGAGGGGTAACAAATGGATGGAAACCATAACCTTTAGGTAATGATAATTGTTACCCAACTTTTTACCAAATTAAGCCAATTTGGCAAATTATTTTGCAAAGTGGACTCGTGGCAAAAGTATTTCCCAAACTAAGCTTCTGGGGTAAAACGCTGTCTCGAACAGCGTTTTATACCCAGAGTTTTTTTAAAAAAAATCCAAGACATAAAACACTGTCTCAAACAGCGTTTTATGTTAGTTGACTTTTTTGTATGTATTTTGTAAAAAAATTCTAACAAATGTATGTATACTATAAAACGCTGCCTCAGGCAGCGTTTTATGTTGCAGAATAAAACGCTGCCTGAGACAGCGTGTTTCTGCTGGACTGCAACACCAGCAGCTCTTCTTGTCCAAAATCTGCCCACCCTCACCCACCAGCCTCAACCAGCACCCTAACCCACCACCCCCACCACCACCCACCACTGCTGATCACCACCGGTCGCCACTGTCGACCACTCTTATGCACTTCAAAACACCCCGAACAATACACGAGCATTCCCACCACCAGCCCAAACCTTTCCACCACCATCGACCACCACCAACAACCATCAAACACTCGAAACAACACCAACAACACTACAACCACCGTGAAACAGCACATTAACTACAGCAGGCCATAAGTTCAACCCTGTTTCTTATTATGGAGCCCAAATATATGTTGTTTGATATATATCGACCAAAAAAGATCTAGTTTTACTAACATAAGTCCGATTCGGACAAATAAGGAAATTAAAAATCAAACCGTACAGAGATTCATTTAAAAAACATTTCTTGTATTAATAATTTAAGTGTTATATACAACATTGTAGAAAATAAGAGTACCACAAATATATCAACTAATACTATCCCGACTCATGTATTGGATGTAACTGATCTCCATCTTGTGTGTCCTCCCTCCGTCTACGAGGACGCCTCGTGTAATGCTGAATGCGGGTGAATGGGTCTCGGGGCGGTGGAGTCAGTTGGCTAGACGATGGGTCATCCTGGGTATGGCCGGGAGCGGTATCATGGAAGATGTAATCCTTTGCCTATGTGGAGGCCGTAGTATCACCTCCACCACTACTCTGTCCAAACTCGAACTGTGAATGGAACGGCTGGTGTCCATGATCGTCCCGCGGCTGGATGAGATGGCCATGGCCAAATCTCTACAAGGTATCCATGCCCATATCTCGCACCCGCTCTACCTGGGCTCTGGTGGGTATGCCTGCTAAGGCGTCTGATAGTGCATCAACCATCACACTCACATCCCCCGCCTGCATTAATCATCCATCACATATTAATATGATATAGAAATTCAAATATTTCAGGAAACAAGATTAAAGAAACTCACAAGGCCGCAAATAACGTAATAAGCTGGATGGTAATGTGTGGACGGTGGCGTGTAGCTAGGGTTGACGAAACGCCGTGTAATCTGCCTGTACCATACCATGTAAGGATCACGAGGATCCATAACACCCTCAAACGGATGACCGGCGACGACGGACTCCAACTGCTGCTCCCAAAGCTTAATGAAACGCCAATGCTCATGCGACCAGTTTGTCTCCACTTTCCCCCGACAGTCAATGCCGTGGAGGCAGATACTGGTGTCACACTCCATGGGGATAGGCTGGTGTAGCCTAAACTGTCGCATCACTTGGTCCTCTTGGTGACTCTCCACGACTTTGAAACAGATCATGGGGGTCCTGACACACCACTCTGCACGATGATCGAGCAAATGTGGAGGCATTGCCTCCACCAAATGAGCAGCATACGGATCCCATGTCATCTGCAATAAGGCATCAAAAATAATATCATAAATAAGTTAGTGCAATGATAATAGACATTGTATAGAGTAAAAAAAATGGTTAAAATAAGTTAGTGCAATTAATTTTAAGATACCACCTGCTCCTCGGTGAGTCAATCGAGCGCGTCTCGGTAGTATGGAAGACCCCTCGCTGCATGCGCATGTGTCAGTCTCGGGACCACCCACCTAAGGCAACAAATTGTTTAAATGTTTCAACTAACAATTTTGAACAATATGGGGCAAAAAAAGGTGTAATGTTACGAACCTACAACCGTACGCCTCATCAGGTGCAGGGAGCGGTGGAGCATCATACGGCGCATACTGCTAGTCCTGGTCCAGCTGCCCAGCACGATGAACAGCAGGCCTACCTGGCCTGGTCTCCCCACATGGATGTGCTCCCAAGCCCATAACTGGAATTTAAAAAATTAAAAAGTAGGTTAAGTATAAAATTACATAAGTCATTGCCAAACTAGGTTGTGGATAATCATGAGGTTTACCTGTAGCACAATCAAAGGACCTCCGATCTCAGATGCTCCACAACGGGATGGTCTACACAGCTGGCGATACAAGATCGCCAAACAAGCACTACCCCAACTATATCCATGGATCTGATCCTAGTTGTGGTCTATCAGCTGGAGGTAAATAAGCTGTAGATAACTTCCGCTCTTGTTTCTAAACAACACACCCGAGATGAGCAGATACAAGTAAGCTCTAGCGTATCTCTGCACTGTGGCGTCGTCAGCATGTCCAGGTAGCTCACGAAATGTGTCGCGTAGCCAGCCGATACTCAACGCGGTGCCCCTGATCTCACTGGGATCTGGACGAACACCTGGAACCCGAGCTACCAAACCTGCGGGATCGACCAACACACCCCCGTCACTACAGTCC